TTTTTTGAAGGCCATAAAATCCAAAAGAAACACTACCCACAGCAAGAAAAATGGTAGCAAAACAATTCTTTCAACCAAACCCCTCAATGACAAACCACCGAAGTTACAAGTTTTATGTACTCCATTTTCTGGAAGGAGAAGGCATCTTACACGTAAGGATACCTTTATTTATTGTCACACTGGTGTTAGAGGCAAAGGCAGTATTACATATACATTTCATTTTCTGGTGCAGAGGACATTTTGATTAATTAGAATGTTAAAATCTCCAGTAGGAAGGCTGCTTTTGCAGGCTGAATTTCCTTGGCTGACTTTTAGGGGAGCTGGGTAGGAGTCATGACGGCAGTGAGGTCATGCAACTGGGAAGCATCTCATGTCCCTCAGCTGTGTTAGGTGGAAACAGGGCTGTGATGCCTGCTGTGGTGGATGAAATACACAAATGATCCTTCTGCCCTATTATTGTGGCAAACATCCTTATCAAATCTGGAAGTCTCCATTTACCCAAAGTGCCCCAAGAGAGAAGAATCTGATCCTTCTCATTCAATGAGAATGGTTTCTGGGAAGAGTACATGCCTTCATTATCAGCTTATGTTCTTTAATTTATTAACAACTTTTTAGTGAGTATCTGATGTGACATAAATCACGCTGGGCTTTGTAAAAAAAAGTTAAAATCTGTGTGTTCGCATATTACAAAAATTTATGCAAATTTTAAGTGGATATTTTCAAAAGTCTAATTTTATACACAGAATTTAAAATAATGCAAATCACCCTAAATTTTAAAAGGCTGTCAAGAGCCACATACTTTCTAAGCTGGCAGGCCAAGAGCATTTTAGCATCTGACACAGTTGCCACACATCGGCAACAGGCTGCCTGGGAAGCAGATGTCCCCCCCGCGGTGGCAGATCTCACTTCCTTCCACTAGGACTTCTGCAAATGATTTCAGTGGCCGCTGCTGGTCATTCCAGGACCACTCAGGTGTGAAACCTGAACATGGCCCTCAAAACCCTGAATCTCAGTCTGGATTTCACATTTCGTAAGTTTCACACTGACTTTGGAAGTGGTGTATGTCCCCACATTCACTATCATTACAACTTAAAATAGCTTTATAACTTATGACAATAATATAATATCTGACATGTGTTGAACACGTTATGTACCAGGAGCTGTCCAAATCGCAGCAACTCAATGAGGTATAAGTTTTGCTCTTACTCCGTCCTATTCTATTCTATTCTTCTTTTTTGTTCCCCTCCTATTACCCCATTTTAGAGTTAGAAAACCTTGATATGTAGAAATTAAGTACCTCATCCCAGGTCACTCAGCTGTTATGTAGGGAGATCACTAGGCCACAAAGCTCCTGAGGCAAGTACACACAAGCATTTTTTCAGCTAGACCTGACTATCCCACCCTGAAATCATCTGCTGTAGAAGACATTAGACCTGCTAAAGGGTACAAAGAAGGCAAAACAGCCCCCAGGAAGCACTCCCCAAATGCAAACTAGTCTTGCATTGTGTTAATTTAGAATAAGGCCGCTTCCCTGTATCAATCCTGACCTCAAGAGGTTTGCAGATCGCAGTTAAAGTATTACCTGCCACTGAGTGTTCACAACACGCTGGGGACCTTGCTAAGCACCTTCTGCAACTTCTCCTTTTCCCTCACACCAGCCCTGCATGACAGACACTGTCACCTCCAGGCATGTCTTAGAGATGACAGAATGGTTATTCCAGGTTCCCTATCCAGGGACTCCCTCCCTAGACCAACTCAAGTCTTTTTGAGTTTTCAAATGCTCAACTTTCGAACTTTCTGTCTCATGATGTACAATTGATACAGTAAAGTTGATAATAGTAAAACATTATCTGTGTTCAGCATATAACAGATTCTGGCAAGAATTTTGCAGAACTTGAGGTTGCTGATAAACAGACACAAGCCCTTATGGCCAGTGAACACTCTGAACCCCAGGTAGGGGATCCACAGCCCAGCAAGTGCCTGCAAGTCTTTCCCCACCACCCATGTGGGACTCCCTTTGGCATATAGAGCCTATTCCCCACAGCATTCCTGCACTCCCAAATTCAGTTTTATTCAGGCTTCCCTTCAAATAGTTTGATTGAATAGGGACACAGGACACAGGTTGATTTAATAGGGACACAACTGTACTCAAAAGCCACAGATAATATAAAGCCAGCCTGAGTTCAAATGCACAGCATAAAGCTAGAATTCCATCTCTTTCGTTGTGACTTAAAGGCCATCTTGCTACTTGGACTAACGGAAGTCGCCATCTGTCATCTTTCAGAGCCCAGAACCAGCCCTGAGAGTGGCAAGCAGTGGACTGAGGAGCCCCTGGACTATTCAGCCACACATTAGGTGTCTTTCCAAGAGTCTGCCCCGGCACTCAAAGCAGATAATTTGCTTCCAGAATTATGGTGTGGGAAATTTTCTTGCTGGGGAGCACACAGATTTCCGAGTTTTGTGTGTCTTCTTTTCTTTTACATTTTTAATGACTTCAGCCTTCATTTGGGAATCACAGAAATCTAATCAGCATCACTTGACATATTTATTCTTCCAGTATATAAGATTCATTCACTGTGTCTTTTCAGAGTCCTACATATTTTGAAACTATGCATGATTAATTTCCCCAGGGCATGAGTTTGAGATACATATATGTTGGGTTTAACTCCACACTATTTCAGCAAAAACAACTGATTGAGTGATGTGGTTATTCTTTTCCAGAATAAAGCTCAGTTTTGGCCCAGGTCTTAATCCCTAAGAGTGCAGGGCTTTAACTCCTGGCTTCCCAGCAAAGCCCTTGGATCGTTTCTGTGTCGCTGCAACTTTAGACTGACCCTGTGACGTTCCCACTCCAGGTTTCAAGGGCTTGTTTTGTGCATGTCCCTTGTCCAGCCTGACAACTTCATTAAAAACCATTCATATTTGCCAACATACTGCCTTTGCAAGGAAGATGTGAGGTTTCCTTTCAGAACCTGCAGGCTTACATACTGTTGTCTGAACTACACAGAAGAGGTAACCTATTTACATGCTAAAAAGGTCAGTGTTGGACAATCAGCAGTTCAAGATGAATTTGCTGCTGCTTGCACCTGGAGCATAAGAATTGGGGAGAACCTGGTAATTTTGCTGCCTCTTTATCTGTGTAGACAGCAAGCACTGTTAAATATGAGGATGTCTGTTCCGATCCACGAGAGTCGTATTGCACAGAGAAGCCCAGTGATGGACAAGCTCGCTCATAGTTAGAACCTTTCTGATTACTAATGAGTATATGCGACTGTGACCATGCACGTCAGCCTCACCTACTAAAAGCTGTAATTAATTTGAGGTGGAAATATTTGCATAATGGTTTTTCAGATTCTGTTAGTAAAACAAAAACCATCATAATAGACCCTAAATTATGTGGCTACTGCTTATTTAACCTTCTCTTTGCATTACAAAAGGTAGACTTCTGGAGGGCTTCAAACATTTCCTTTTGTGATCTTTTCAAAGTCTCTTCTAACATCAGCAGTTTTATTTTGCTAATGTGTGTTGAAAGTGTCTTAAAAGATGTCATTATAAAGACATTGGTTTTCTCTGAAATCTCTATCATATTTTTGCTCCTTATCCATTTGTAGATTTAAGCTAAATAATTAGGGAATTGAGACCCACGCCTTTTCCTTAAATGTTGGGATGTAACCTAAGAGTACAGTCACTCTTCAGACTGGATTAAGAAAATGTGGCACATATACACCATGGAATACTATGCAGCCATAAAAAAGGATGAGTTTGTGTCCTTTGTAGGGACATGGATGCAGCTGGAAACCATCCTTCTTAGCAAACTATCACAAGAACAGGAAACCAAACACCGCATGTTCTCACTCATAGGTGGGAACTGAACAATGAGATCACTTGGACTCGGGAAGGGGAACATCACACACCGGGGCCTATCATGGGGAGGGGGGAGAGGGGAGGGATTGCATTGGGAGTTATACCTGATGTAAATGACGAGTTGATGGGTGCTGACGAGTTGATGGGGCAGCACACCAACATGGCACAAGTATACATATGTAACAAACCTGCACATTATGCACATGTACCCTAGAACTTCAAGTATAATAATAATAATTAATTTAAAAAATTTAAAAAATAAATAAATAAAAAAGAGTACAGTCACTCTTGAAGACAGGAAACCAGCACAGAAGGCTGTTGATAAGCACAGGGCTGAAATGCACGGAGATCCCGTTGAAGTCTCACTCCTTGGTTGCAGCAGCCAATCTTGTGCAACCAAACAGCCATTGTCCTTTGTACCTTAACACCATGGTACATGCAGAGCTGCTCAGAAAAGAGCACCGCATCTAAGAGTGCCTGTGTTAGGGAGGTCATGTCTCAGCTTCCGCTGCTTTCCAAAGCCCCGGGCTGCCACAGGATGTCACCCCAGGTGAGGTCATGGTGCACTGCTGGGGATCTGCAGCAGCAGCAGCTGGTATCGCCCAGCTTCTCATGGGGACCCTTGCTGCCTGTCATGTTCAGTATCTCTCAGGGGATTTATAAAGCCAGATGTGGACTGAGGCTCACTCTGTCTTTAGAGACTCATGAGGCCGCTTCCAGGAAGAAATTATTGTCTGTGCGCATGCACATCCCAGACGGTTCAGTGTGCCAGTCTGCTTAGCAGTCAAATTCTGCATGGTTCTTTCATTCCTCTGACTCCTAATTTAAGGAGAGAGAAGCCAGTGGCAGTGACAAGTGACCATCAAACAGCGTCTCACAGAGATTATTTGAATGTGGCTGAAACACAGCCACAGTCTTCTAGGCATGGGTAACATATGTCTTCTATGACCACTGCTCAAAAACAGACTGGTGGCATAGGGTATGCGTGGGGGTGATGCTGTACGATCAGAAGACACGGGTTCTGGTGGTGTCGGCACTTTCCCTGCCCTGACTTGGGCCCTCTGGACTGTGGGGCTGACGCAGCAGTGCTTGCTTGCTGGGAACCTGAGCCTCACCCCACCCCACCTCTCTTGCAGAATCCTCAGCGGAGCAGGCGCAGCAGGCACTTCACCAGTCAGTGTTCATGTCCACGGTGTCAGCCCACCCTTTTCGGGACCTTCCCCGCGGCAGGGAGCAACACTGCAAGCTGCTTCCAGGCGTGGCTGACATCCGGGCCAGCCAAGTGGCACGATGGACTGTGGATGAGGTGAGTGGAGCTGCTGGAGTCCAGGGCTGGGGTGTGCCTGCTGCTAAGAAATAGGCAGAAGGTGCCCACTGACCATTCTCTAATGTCTGGGACAGCGCCCTTTTTCTCTTAGGCATTGCATCCGCCATATAATCTTTAAAACCCAAATTAGAGGGAGAAGCCAGGCATGGTTTTGAGGAGATGAGGAAAGCCCGCCACTTGCCCAGATGGTTTTGTACCTCCCCTCTGCAGCCTTATTCCAGTGCCCCCCGAGCCCCAGAGCCATCAGCTGGGGCTAATTCAAGCAGAGAGGCTTAAGCCTCCAATTCCACATCACAGATTTAATTTGGGGAAGCACAAATGTGCAAGCATCTGAGGCTTGCATCCCAGCCACGTGTGCTCTGGGAGAGGTGCCCAGCCCAGGACATCCTGCACCTCAAGGATCTATTTGCCAGTTGCCCTGTGGTCTCGTGGGATCCAGGCACACTCATGGCAGAGAAGGGCCCTGCTGCAGGTTTGCTCCTCTAAAGCTACAAGATGAGCAGGCCCACCTTTGGTTCATTTATAAAGTATATTTGGTCACAACGTTATTTGAGAAGCTGCACAGAGGGCACAAGTTGGATCAGATTTCAATATAAACATTCCTTACAATATTGATTATTTTACATTTTATCTTATTTTATTTAGAGACAGGGTCTTGCTCTGTTACCCAGGCTGGAGTGTAGTGGCATGATCATAGCTCACTGCAGCCTTGAACTCCTGGACTCAAGTGATCCTCCCACCTCAGCCTTCTGAGTAGCTGGGTCTATAAGCATGTGCCACCACACCTAGCTATTTTTTTTCATTTGTTTTGTGGATACGGGGTCTCACTATGTTGCCCATGCTAGTCTCGAACTCCTGGCCTCAAACAATTCTCCCACCTCAGCCTCCCAAAGCACTGGGGTTATGTGCAGGAGCCACCTTGCCTGGCTTCAGTAATGGTTATTAATAAGGATCAGTTAAGCCCCATTGCTTTACAATAATGCTGTAGAAATGCTTCATATTTAAGGTGGTATTATTTAAGGAATGTACCTCTTACCTGTAATTCCTTTTGATAAAGATACTGTTTTCACTAGTCAGGCCTTAAATTGTTTTTTAAAAGAAGGAAAATCCTGGGTCACTCTGAGGGCAAGATTAGAGCTACAGCCGCAGTTAAATTAGACACACAGTGTTCCTGGAGCACTCACTGCAGTCAACTTAATCTCGGTTTAAGCCCGCCTTCCCAGCCTTGGGCCAAGGAACAGGCAGGCCAACGCCCACCCAGAAATTGGAGCCATTCATTTGAAGTGCCACCTTTTTAAAGTAAGACTGAGAGTGTCTCCTCTGCCCTCTTTGTTGCTGGGCTCATAGCCCCTGGCATCGTCGCTTCCTAGCACAGAAGGATGCCCTGGGGAGAGCAGCGCCAGATCCCAGCCTCAGTTCCACTCCCACCTGCGTGTGCAGAGTGACAGAGTTCTGATCGTGAGGAATGTGGTGGAGAAGGCAGAATTCTGGGCATGTCTCTGCCCAGCTTACAACAATCCCTGGCTCCCCCTGGCACCCTTCACCCTCTGTGAAGTCCTCCCTTCCGCCCTTGCCTGCCCTGCCATTCTTGCCCTCCCCTCCTGCCCCAGGGAGTCCTGCTGCCCCAGCCTGTTCTCATACTCACACAGTCCTGCCTTCTCCCACTCAGACCACTGCCAGCAGCAGTCTGGGGCTCCATGCTCTCTTCCACCTCCTGTGGATCCTCGGTCTGAGCCAGAGGTCACCTCTGGCAGGACATCCACACTCTGGCCTGACCCCACACTCACTTGCCATGACATCTTGAGAACCCCGCACTACACCCGGAAGTTAGTAGACACCCAGTAAATGTTTGTTGAATGAATGTTGAATGACAAGGAAATCAATGGTGGCCTAAATTTTGAAACAAAAGTGGGATGTATCTAATCAGAAAAAAGAAGGGAAGCCATTCCAGTTGACGGGGAAACAGAGGAGGTTGCATGGAAGTGAGTTTCACAGACTTAGTGATGGCAGACATGCACCACGCCCTGTGCGGTCATTCATCATGCTAAACCAGCTATGTGAATATAATGACAGGAAGGCAGATACTCACTTGCCCATTTTATTCATGGGGAAGTTGAGATACCCAGAGATGAAGTGACTGGCATCAGGCCACACAGTCAGAACCAGGCCATGAGCTGACCTCCTGCCCACCATGCTCACGGTGGCCCCAGGCACAGAGGAAAGGGACCCAGGAGCGGGAGATGGGCCTGCTGTGGAAGGCCTCAGGGGCCGGGCAGAGGGTGTGCACAGCCCACAGTCTGCTGGACAGAGTCATTCTGGGCTCTTGTGCGGAAAGTCACTTTGTGAAGATGGTGTTTCAGGAAGATGAGAATTGCAGAGATCTGTAGAGAGTAAGGTGAGAAGGGCGGAGGAGAAGGAGACACCCAGGAAGTGGAACCATCAGGGCCTAGGTGGGGCACTGCCAACCAAAGAACCCGGATTCAGTAGACATTTCAAAGGCACAGGCAGTAGCACAGGGAGGTAGATTAGATATAGAAGAAGAAAAAGCGAGATGCACCAAATGCGATTCCATTTATAGTCTTGGCGCTAAACAGTTTAGTACTTGATTGGGGTAATAGTATGTGAGAGCTGAAAGGCCCAAAGAGTTCATCTGAAAGAATGGGGAAAGAGTGTGCTATTAGAAGTGAAATTTGGGGACAGAGTCCAGTTTGGGAGCAGGAGGATAACACGGTGAATTCATTATTGGACATGTGACTCACGATTAGCAGTCCCTGTGAATCACAGTGGTGGATATAGAGACGTCCCAGTGGACATAAACTCAAGATGGTTGCCCTTAAAGGCTGCAGCCAGAGGGTACCAAGGGGCATTTCCCAAGGGTGTGAGTGTCCAGAGTTAGGGTGAGGATGGGTCAGCAGAGCCCCAGTTAGAAAGAGGGAAGAGGGGCTGCAAAGGGGCTCTGACTTCCAGAGAGTCCCTGGACGCCAGGTGTCAGGGGAAGATGAAGCCAGAGCATATTGTGCAGCAGGACAGGTGTCAGAGCTGGTCAGGTTTTGAGGCTGGGTTCGTGGAGTTGTGCCTCAAAGAATTTGGAAAAATTGTGTACAGTATATGTATTTTTAATGGATAAGGGCCAGAGATTTTATTAACTTCTCAGGGATGCCTTTATGCAATAAGAACAGACACCACTGTTAGGGACATTAGCAGTGACTAGGAAATGGGAGGGAGCTCTGATTGGACAGACTTCAAGTATGGCACTTAACAGAAGCAAAATCACGAGACTGGGAGGTGATTCAAGGGAAGTAGCTTGTCTAGGTGAAAGTGTCATTAGGACAGGGAAGCTCTCAGAAGGAAGACCAGAGAAAGAGAAGCTGTTAGGAAGATGAGAGCCCTGGTCCTTAGTTCTCTGTTGTGGGTGCAGGTGGAATCTCAGCCCTTGCTGCTGGGAGAGGCCTTAGAACTTTTCTAGATTTAAAATATCAGCCATGGGAAAGGCTAAGTGCCTCGCATGCAACGCTCCTGCTCCTGCTGCTTCCATAACCCTGACTTCCGTCAGGGATTCATTCCACGGAAAACCCTTTTCATGGTTCCCTACTGTTGAGCATAACTCAGTCTTGCTGTCTCCCCAACTAGATGCCCTGAGGACAAGGACCACATCCTGAATTTCTTTCCATGTCCTCACACACTACAGCACATTTCCCAGTACCAACATAGGTCCTCAGGAATCATCTCTGATGGGTTGAAAATGGGGGCTTTGTGATTGCTGTATTTGTGTCTTTGAAAATAAGGGAGCCACTTAGGGGCCCCCGGTGAGTACCTACCCACAGCAGAGTGTAAGGCTGCTTAGAGAAGGCACAGTAAGAATGATGAGCAGGGCAGCAATGATGTGAACGGCAGTTCAGGGTTGAGCTGGACTGGTGGGGCCCAGGGCTGCTTTTGTGCTTTGTGAGCACTGGGCGTTTCAGAGAGGAGCCTCCGCAGCCAGGGACGGGGTGTGTTGGAATGAACTGGGCATCCCTCAGGAAGAGTTAACACGGGTGTCTGTGGCCGAAGGTGAGGTGAAAGCACAGCCTCTTTGTCTGCCTTTCTGGCCCGGGAGGAAGACCTCTGCTCTGCTAATGCCACCTGTGAAGAGAGGCCAGCGCGGGGCCTTTGTAACACTCCACAGAGCTGTGAGCTGCCTCTTAACTCCTTTGGTACTGTGGCTGTCTCTCCAAGAGCAGTGCTTTTCAAAGCGCAGATAGGCTGGGAAGTCAATTTAGTGGTTATAAAACGAAAGACCAGACAAGATGAGAGCACATCATAGGTGATAAGGGTTGTTGCTTTGCTAAACTTCAGTGAGGGATGTGTGTGGGTGTGTGCACGTGATAAGTTATGGAGATGTAAAGTATATGTCTTATTCTGGGTCATGAAAATATCCTGTACAAGAGCATAAGCTTTTACGAGTAGGGACTAGTATAGTTTCATATATTTTTATATCTTTTAATCTTTTGCTATCTTATTGCAAAGCATCTTGCACAGAAGAGGGTTTGACAAATGTTCGAGTGAGTAAATGAGTTCTTGAATGAACAGGCAGGTGGGTTTTATGTAGTCTGTTCCCTGATTCTGCCAGGTATATATGTCTAGGCACACGGAGGCAGGCAGGGCATGATATGTGGTGTGCTCATTTACCACCCTCGGTATGACTCAGGTAAGCCTGGTGCACGTATGGGTACTTTTATTTCTCTTATTAAAAAATACTTCTTAAAGCACCACATATAAATTGCTCTAGCCTCAACCAAGTGCTCCCTAAATGTTCATTAACTTTAAAAGATGGCAGTCACTTTAAAAGCAGCCTTTACACAGGAAGGGGTGCTTTTGAAAAATTCAGGGTACTGCTAACTAAGCAGAGCAGCCTTATACAATTGAGCCCTTAAAAAAAAAGGGCAAATAAACTCTGCTGTTAAAAAATAAGACCCAGGCTGGCAACAGGGTCCCCAGTG